AGAAAAAATCATTTGAAAATACCAAAGAGGGTTCGTGGTTCAATTTGCACTTCGAGAAGGGTTTAAGCATTCGAAATGCCCGCTAACATGCGGTTGACCTGCGACTTGACTAAAATATATTTGACTATTTTTAGGAAAATAATGATTCAACATAATAACTTACAATATTTGATTAACTTTGAGAGAATGATTAAATAAATGAAGCTTTTTTTTAAAGGGACCCAAAAATGAAACATTTGAATTAAATTGCAAATAATTAGAATATTAATAAAATTAGATTAATTAGGACTTACTTGACTCATTTTTTTTTTTAAATAAAATAATTTAAACCAAATTGGTTAGTTTAAGCATGAACATCACTTTAAATTAATTGAAGAATAAAAACAAAAGTTTTGACCAACTTTTTGAGAAAAAGTGACAAAAGTAAAAGAAAACCATTTTTTAAAGTTTATTGAGGAAAAATACTTAACTTAAAATAATTTTAGAATGAGCAAAAATGTGTGAAGAAGCGTTAAATAACACATTTTTTCAAGAACAAACGATTTAACTTAATTGAGGATGTAAAATTTGACCAAAATTTAATTAATAAAATAAATGACCTCAACACAAAAAAAAAGTATTCAAAGCAAACCAACACAAAGAAAATAACTCGTCTTTTGGGGGAATCTAATTAAGTTAATTAAAAATTATAAAGTTAGAGTTAAACAACAAACAATAAATAATCACAATTAAATAATTAAAGAGTAAGGGAGAAATGAATTTGGGCCTCCTTTTGGGCCAATTTCGCTGGAATTTTTTGGGTTTTAACCTAATCCTGTTTTTGTATACACCTGATGTATATCAGTGTACATGATGTATATTTCGCAAATCTGCTGCACGTAACCCTGTATTTCAGCTTCCCAGACTTATGTTTCGCCTTAGCCATGTATTTCACCATTTTGGCATGTATATCAATGTATACTGCTGTATACATCATGTATACAACCCATTTCCAACTTTGCGAGACTGTTATTTCGCTTCTGAGACCTGTACACCAGCTTCCTTTTCACCGTAAAGATGAGGATGACTCAACAGACTCAAAGATATGCAAGAGTGGAGTCCGAATAGACTCGAGTTGATGTCATATGTAACAAAAGAAAGGGAGAAAATTAGTAGAATAACTCGAAAATAAAAGAAGAAACAATTGAGCACCATTTAGGATGACTCAACAGACTCAAAGATATGCAAGAGTGGAGTTCGAATAGACTCGAGTTGATGTCATATGTAACAAAAGAAAGGGAGAAAATTAGTAGAATAACTCGAAAATAAAAGAAGAAACAATTGAGCACCATTTACAACAAAATATTGAACTTAACTTAAATGATCCTAAGCTAACCAACTGGGAGATAGAAACTACAAAATATGATCAATTTTGACAAGCTACAAACAAATGAAAACAAGTCATATAACTCCTTGAGGACACACAAATGACAAGTTAATAAGAAAGATAATCCCACTTAAAGAATTCATCAAATTCATTTATCGGAGGACATGCTACAGGGAATACTATGCTACTGTTTTCAGATTTTACAAAGTTACTCTTTCTACTAAAAGAGATACCACAACTACTCTTCTCGAAAAATAAATAAATGAAACTCTAGATATTGTATTAAATCATGATCATTTTTATCATTTTTGGAATTTGTATTGCATCGGTTTACAAAAATTGAGGAAAGGTTGTATTCATATCTAAGCAAACAAAGGAACGGTATTACTCCTGATGGTTACTGAGGCAAACTATGAGAAAATCATGATAAATGAATGACTATACATTCATACTTAATATATTCACAAGCTACCGGAATACTAAAAAATTAATGAGCACAAATGCTAGGATTGATAAGAGTTCATACGACCAAATAACATAAACCGAAACTCAAAGCAATTTTTATTACATTAGCTACAATTTGTTTAAAAGATACCAAGCTAAAGGCTAAAGCTAAACAATATAAAGCCAAACCGTCCCTAACAAAACATGTCGAAACACCCAGATTATGATTTTCTTGCTTGAACTCCATCAAAGAACCTAATGGGTTATCCAAAAGCTGGACCTAGATTTTAAAATAGAACATGTCATGTTGAACATGGACAGGCAGAACCTTATACGAGCATAAAAATTAGACGAAACTATGGATCCACGACACAACTCAATCTGAACTCTCTTTGCAGCGAACAACCAGTAACTCAAATTGGCAATAGTATGAACAAGAACTATAGCGTACTCGATCAATACAACTATCCAACAGAATGTTCAAGCAAGGTAATACAAAATGTTGGTCAGCCAGCCCAAAGTAGAAACTCGTCTCATGAGTCCAATAACATCATTTAGTATCAAGATAAAATCACAACGAGCAATCAATTCAAACAACCTATAATGATCCAATTATAAGGTAAGAAACTAAGCGACGAAATTAAAATGGAAAGAAATTACCTTCTTTGGAGCAGCGAGTGGGACAAACCAGCTTGAAGGAACTTTTCAACCACCACACGAGGAATTCCGGTGGAAATCCGAGTTCCAAAACAGCAAACTCAGAAACTGTGGTTACAAAATACTATTATACTATAAAATCCAATCTCCAAAAATAAAACCCCCTTAACACTTAAGTGTAGATGGCTAATTATAGGGAAGATTGGGTAGATTTAGGGGGAAGAACGGATTGAAAATTTGTATTTGAAATTCGAATTCTTTGCTTTGTTTTTTCCAGTCAACAGTGGAAGGGATGGAAAATTCTGAAATTGTGGAAAAAAGGGACGCGACTGGTGTGACGGATCTTCTTTATTTACACTGATTTCTCACCGGGTTTGCTGGAATTTTCTGGGTCGCGTTACATCGCTGGATTTCTGGGTTTCTTGTAATTCTCTGCTCGCGTGAAGAAGGAGACGCACAAGGGCAGTGGGGTCGGGTATTTGGGGTTGCGATTGTATTGCCATTGATGGGCTAAAATGTATGCTGAATTGGGTCTTTGGAATTATTGGTTGAATTGAGGAAATTTGGGCTTGGATTTGGCTGAAATGTTGGCCCAAAATGTGGTCTCAAATTGAGTTAAGGTGAGGTTAAAATTGCCTAGAATCGTATTAAGAAAGTGGTAACATGAATTATAATTATGGCCTATGGGAATTAAGAAGTTAGACAAATTGAATTTAATTTAGGGAATTTGACTAAAATATAAAGTAAGATGAATTAATATTAATTAATTAACGAGCCTCTTAATTATAACGAAACAAATAATTAATTCAATTATAAAACTAATTAACTCAAAATATAAACCTAACTTATATATTAACTCATGGATTAAATTAAAATATTTAAGTAAGAAATAAAATCTTTTGGAGACGATTTTCAAATATTCATAAAATATTCAAACTATATACTTAATTATGTAAACATGTATATTATTCAAAAATTATAAAAAGGCGACAAAACATTTAAAAATAACTTGCAAACTATTATTATTATTTATTTATTTTGCAAATTTCTAAAATTAATTATTTTAAATCGCTTGAAATTGAAGAAGCTCAATGATTAATTTATATTGTGGAGGGCCAAAATTGGGTGTCAACAACTATGCTAAGGTGGACGTCCACGTGGCGTTATTATTTACATGTTGGAGGCCACATATTAGTCCGTTAAAAGGAAGGGTAGAAGTGATCCAATAGTTAGACGGCAGAGGTAGTTTTGAGCCCAAAAATAGTTAAAGGGTATATTTGATCTATTTCGAATAGTTGAAGGGTAATTTTGACCCTTTTCCGTTAATATAATGGTTTATTAAGTTTATCTTGATACTCTCTAATAAGTAATTTCCTTTTCTTAATAAGTAATTTTCTTAAAACTTTACGAAGGATCAATTACATGTTGATAACTAAACAAAGAAATTAAACAACTTCTCTGCTGCTAGAAAAAATAGAAATCCCAACGTTAAAAAAATTTCATACCACCACCCTACTCTTTGTTGACTCTGACAACAAGCATTATTCCTTTAATGTCATCTGCACCAACTCTACCTGATCGTTTGAAGGAAGAACTTTGTTCGAGTTCATTACAGGATCAAAGTCAAACCTCAACGTATAAGAAAAGGTATCATATTTCTCACATGTATAAATTGATATTTTTGGGAGTTAACAAATTTTTTGATAAATGGAATCCAAAAATAGAAATTGTTCAACTAGTTCATCAGGTCATCCTCGGCAAGACACAACACTTCCATTACAACATCCCACAATACTAAAGGAACCGTCATTATACTGAAACGGAAAATTTAAGTGGGTGTCATGATCTAAAAACTCATTTATTATATATCAAAGCATAAATATTTATTTTGGTGTTTTCAGAGTAATTTCAATTAAGATGTGATCATCTTGAGATGAGTAGAGATAAAATTAGGGCTTGTAAGAAGAGAGTGCCATAATTTGTTACCAACCCTAAATATTTTATCTCTTCTTACCAGCTCTAATTTTATTTCTATGCATCTCAATCCATAACAAGATAATCACATCCTAATTTGAAATTACTTTGGAAACACCAAAATAGATATTTATGCTTTGTTCTGTAACAATGAGAATTTGGATCAAGATAACCACTTAGATTTTTTCATTTGAGTGCGGTAGCGGTTTTGATTGCAATGAAATTTTATGCCTTGTCACCGCTGGACTGTTGAAGTACTAACCATTTCTATTTTTGAAATCCATCTATCAGAAAGTCAATAAAATTCCCAGATGCAATTTATAAATGTGAAAAATGTAATACATGTGCTTATACGTTGGAGTTTGGAGCTGATTTTGTCAAACCCTACAGTGGACTTGCAAATAAATTTGAATAAAGTTCCTCCTTGAAATGACCACATAGATAAGTTGGTGTAGCTGCGTAAGGAAAGAAATAGCTTGTTGTTGGAGTCAACAAAGAGTTGGGTGGTGTAACAAACACTAAAATGGTTGTAGTGATTTTCTCAACTCACAACAAACAATAGAGAGAACAAACTAACAAGCTTTGATTCATACGAAAAATGAGCAATTACAATATGAAAAAGATGAACAATAACAGTAGCTATGAAGAAGATGGGATGAGGGAACTAAGAGAGAATTGGGGATGAGAAGCATAGTCTTTGCCTAAGCATAATCATAATTCACATAAACCTATTTTGCTCTCACAAGTCTCTATTTATCAACCCGGATCCCACACATAGCCACTTAATCTGGTGTTGGGCTGATTTGCCAATACTGGTCTAGGCCCATTCATAACAATACTCCCGTCCTCAATAAGAACCTTGTCCTCAAGGTTCAAGTCAAGGATAATTTTAGTAGTGCAATCTCCACCAATTGTAGCCAAGACAAATTGTGCTATGGTGCCAATCAATAGCATGTGAACCAATATAATTTTCAGATCATCAACAATTAAGTGCTGCTCATTATCAACATCCTCAAAGGCAAAGAAGCTCTTGTCCAACACAACGTAAACATAAACTTGACCACCCATAAATTGTGTAGAACACGCAACAACAATTGCATACTTCAAAGAAAAACATAAAACCTTAGCAGCAACCAAGCCATTGATATGTACCATGTCCGCCAAGAAAATAACTTCTGATTGTGTGTTACCTATCTTGCGGATACACGCATAACTTACTATTGACATCACCGACAAAGATTTAAAATTTTCTGAAGGGATAAGCTTATGACCATTCCATTGTTTAGCTTTCTCAAGTTCAATAATATCAGCACTATGTGGACCAATATCTTCAAGTAGCGAATCCCTCCGCTTTATCCACATGTCGCACTAGAATAACTGGATTGGATGCTAAGAAAACCTCCAGGGCACTACTAAAATGTTTAACTGGTATTGCAGCAGTTCTTACATGATTCAGCCCAAGGCAACAAACTTCCTGACCCCACAATGCAGCTATTAAAATATAAGTAGAAAGAAAACGACCAGTTGTAACCAAAGTCTTGTCGGCACCATAGTATAGAGGAGTATCCGGTATACCAGGATCAAATGGAAGATTCAAAAAGGTGTGATAAACAATAAAACTTATTGAGAAATAATAAAAATGAGCTTGCAGATCCACACTCCAACTAGAATAGTTGGTTGGCGGAAGGTTTTTCAAAGTCGTCGTAAGTATATTGCACACAAAATATGTAGGAGAGCTCAATGTTGTCCATTTGTTTTGTGTTCCCACATCTATCACATGGCTACCCATTGCCTGCTCCAAAACCTCACACGCCAACTTTGGTGATACATTAAATTCGAAGATTCTCACCTTGCCATCATTAGAGTGAAGTTCTTTTGTTAAAACACCACGCTCGTATTCTAAAGCAATGATGAATTCCTGGCCTGTATCGAACCATTTGTCCACATAACCAGAATTTTGTAATCCAGTATCCATTGCTTCAGAATATTGTCCCAGTAAAAACACTTGGACATTTTGACTAGGCAGCCCGTCAAAAAGATCTGTGGCAGGTAAACGAATGGATATATTAACACATCTAGCACCAGGATCAAAGGGAAATTGACTCAAATTAAGTTGATTACATCTACTGGTAGGTGTTCCATGTTCAGCGTTAAGAAGTACTTCAACATAATACATGTCGCTTGTCAGAATGAAAATCGCATTCTTCGAGAAAAAGTTATCAAGAACAAGAGATGTAGAGTGTGGCAAATCTTCTAAAGAACCTGTCTGTTGCCTCATTATCGGAGCCAATCAAATGACACCTTCAAGACAAAAATCCAGAACGTTGAGGCTTTTGTAAGCACATATATCAGACAAAAGGAATCCTAAAAAAATGCACTCCTGCCCAGTATCAACCTAATTGCATTTGCGTAAGCAAAGGTCAAGGCATAATGTTGATCTGTTTTGGGTACCCCCATAATATTCTTTAAGAGAATCATGCCAACAGGGAATTGTGCGAAGCCATAAGGCAATAACAAATGAATAATCGATTTCAGCAAGTACCTTAGAGCAACAATTATCAGACTTTTCCTCGAACACCTGGGTGGCGTTTGGTATTGAATGTTTAAAGTCCATGTCAATTTCTCTATAGGGTATTTCAGCAAACACCTTACAGGCAAAGCTTTTAGAATAGTCCTCCTCATCAATTTTAATTTCAAGTGGTGTATCCCCATCACAATTGCTACCAATTAACACAATCGAGGAAGTAAAATCAGTGGGGTGCAAAACATTACCGATGGAAGCGACAAAGATCTCTGGAGGGACCTTAGAATTATCCGCAGGTCGTAAGTTTTCACCATCCAAATCAGAAGCATATTTCGATTCTGTGGCCTCCTCTTGTTTTCCATTGGCTAAATCAGATTCAATTGCAGCATGAAGAATTTCCGGCAGAGCTATAGTTGCTACGTTAATGGAGTCAAAACCAGCCACACCCTCTGTTGATCTTGTGAAACTCCACTGTCGAAATTGCAAAAGCAATTTCACCTTGAAATGGTTCCAATCATGGAATTGTTTGTTGCGAAACAACCCATTGAACCAAATAAGAGCTTCACCATCAAAGTAAAATGAAGGAAGAGGTAGCCAGTCCTTCTGGGAGAAGCCAAGATAGGTAAAATACCATTCCGCTAAAAAAATCCACCCTTCTGGATTACCCCCACTAAATCGATCTAGCAACACCACAGCCATTGGAGTACGATCAATGAAAGCACCAATATAACAAACACTAAAATGGTTGTAGTGATTTTCTCAACTCACAACAAACAATAGAGAGAACAAACTAACAAGCTTTGATTCATACGAAAAATGAGCAATTACAATATGAAAAAGACGAACAATAATAGTAGCTATGAAGGAGATGGGATGAGGGAACTAAGAGAGAATTGGGGATGAGAAGCATAGTCTTTGCCTAAGCATAATCATAATTCACATAAACCTATTTTGCTCTCACAAGTCTCTATTTATCAACCCGAATCCCACACATAGCCACTTAATCCGGTGTTGGGCTGATTTGCCAATACTGGTCTAGGCCCATTCATAACAGTGGTGTGGACTTCAACATCATTTTTCATTTTTTTTCAATGTTGTCAAAGATGACATGGTTTCTCTCTTTGTGTCTGGTAAACCTATGAGAAATGTACTATGTGACGTTTCTGAATCCTAGATGTTGCTATTGAGACGTTGAAAAACAAGAAAGAAAAGAGAGAAAGAAGTTGTCCTTGAAAATCTCTAGCTCTCGATTTGCATTAGAGAAAGCAATTGAGGAGTGAAAAATTAAGGAACAAAAGAAGGATATTTATAGTTGGTGTGAGATGTTCGGATATGATTATATTTAAAAGCCTTATAAATGTCATTCTATATACATTGATTTATATTAGATTTTATCATAACAAAATTTTGTTTGACCAATCAACCCAAATTAAATAGCATATTAAATTAACAAGACTACCAAGAAATAAAAGTTTTAAAAGAACAAATTACAAGAGATAAGTTGGTTAATTAAAACAACATAAATGACAATTTACTATTCAAAGAGATGCAAATAGTCAAAAATAATTATGCTCTTTCATTAATTCGATTGTTAACCTCTTTATATGAGACCATATCGACTATATTTAGCATACTTAGGTAGAAAAATATTCAAATAATGGGGATTGTATTCATCTATTTCTGCCCTGCAAAAGAAAGTATACATCTCATATTCTCATTGGAAACAAGAACGCATAATTGTTATTTTTTCAGGTTTTCATTGTATCAGCAAATTAAACAAAATAGTAATATTTGTAATTGAATAGCTTAAACAACGCACAGTTGACGTTAAGCATACATCTATATTTCTAGGAACTTAATATTATATATTTCTTTTCCTTAGCGAAGTTTGATGTATGTTGGCACTCTCTTTAATTAGTAATTTCCTTTTTTTTTTAAATAAGTATTTTTCTTAAACAATAAGGAGGATCGATTATATGTGGATTTCTAAACAAAGAAATTAAACAACTGCTCTGGTATTCGAAAAAAAAGAAGGAAATTTCAACTTTCAAAAAAATATACGGGCCAAGGTGGGTAGAGAGCTGATAAGTCTTACTGTTCCCAGATGTTTTGATGATCCTCACAAATGCAGGGACCCGGTCCTCTGCAGAGTGTTGTCGTCCAGGGTAATGTGCCTTACAACTGGAAAGCTGTCTCGTCAGAAGTTGGTGAGGCGCCAGCGTACTGAACCAATCAAAATGGACGAGGCTGTTTGTCCAATGGTTAATAATTCTTTATGGTTGATATATTCAACATGACAAACAACATATCACTCATTCATTCAAAGAGAGAAAATTCAAGCTTCAACAAAACAACAAGGGACCTCATAGATTGACGATTTGCTTCCTGAACCTGTTGTTATTTTGATTGCTTGTATTTATGCTTAACTTGTAGGATTTGTTTCACTTTGATAGAAACGTTTCAAAACTTGTGTGAATCATTGTAAGCACATAGTTGAGGGCAACATTGTGTCTTACGAAAAAGTCTATATTAATCAATTAGGATTAGTATAGTGGGCAATGCAGGCATTATTTTGGGTCAGTTAAGTAATAGGTGGTATTACTTAGTGTGAGATTAGGTGGTTAATCTCATTGTGTGGTTGTAAACTGTGTTTCACTTTTGCTTGTGAAGATTAGTGAAAACAGTTTGAAAATCCTGTGAGACAAGTTATGGTTTTACTCCCTTGAGCAAGGAGGTTTCCACGTAAAAGTGTTGTGTCTTTTAATTACTTTCTGTACTTACTTTCGTGCATTAATATTGTGTAAAGGATTTGGTCCCATCGTAGTTAGTGGACGCATACATTCCAACAAGAACAATTTTTATTGTGTTGAGTGGAGCGGGTTGAAGTTTCCGCGGATTTGATACGCCACTCCATTGTTTGTCATCGCTAGGTAAAAACATCAACCTTTGAATGAGAAAGGTGTCAGTAGTTGAGAAAAGAATTTCAACAAGTAAGGTAAAGAAACCTATAACTATCAAAGCATAAAAGAAGTTTAATTAATAATCCTCCAAATTATCCAAGTGAGTTTGCCTCGTAATATATATGTACAAGATCGTGCCCCTAATTCCTCCAACACCAACAAATTTAGCTTGTGGATTGGAATCACATGAGTGGAGTAAGTCTTGTTTTTCTTATTTAAATGAAGGGTTTCATTCTAAATTAAAGTTAGTTTTGGTGATTGCTCTACTGTGGATGAAATGGGAAAAAGTGATATTAAAATAATAAAATTAAAATCAAGAATGACTTTGAAGAAATAATATCAAATGTGTTATATGTTCCCGCTCTAAAAAGCAATTTATTGAGTATTGACAATTGCAAGAGAAAGGGTGTTTTATTCTCATTAGGAAAGGTGCTTGTCAGATTTATAGTCCTACTAGCGAAGCTATTGTTGTTGTGAGAATGAATTCAAACAGGTTGTATCCCTTGGAATTGAGAGTGTTAAATCTTGTCTGAAAGCGGAAGTGAAAGATTCTTCCTGGTTGTGGCATTTTAGATATCGTCACTAGGTTTTTGGTGGATTAAAAACTCTCCAATAGAAAAAAAAATTGGTGATAGGCTTCCAAAATTTCTCATCCCCTCCCAAGTTTGTGAAGAATGTATTGTTGGCAAACAATATCGTTCTCAATTTCCAAAAGGAAAGTCGTGGAGAGCAAAGGATATTTTGGAACTGGTGCATTCAAATATTTGTGCCTCAATTAGACCAATTTCTAATGGAGGAAAAAGGTATTTCATTACCTTTACAGATGATTATTCTCGAAAGACTTTGGTGTATTTTTTAAGGAAAAAATCAGATGCTTTTGGAGCATTTAAAAACTTCAAGGCTCATGTCGAAAATGAGACTGGTGGCAAACATTTGTTGTTCAAAACATGACGTCGGAGGATGCTTGGAGTGGAAGAAAACCAATTGTAGATCACTTTCAAACTTTTGGTTGCATTGCTGATGCACATGTTACGAACTAGAAGGGGAAAAAGCTTGATGACAAAAGCGAAAAGTGTATCTTTGTGGGTGTTAGTGAAGCATCAAAGGCATATAAATTGTTTAATCCACGGACGAAGAAGATTGTAATTAGTATAAATGTTATTTTTATGAAGAAAGCACTTGGGACTGGAGTATGCAACAGTCTACTCCATTTTTATTTGATACCGGAGTCGAAGAAGCAACTGCAATGCCCGAATCTGCATAGAACTCAACTCCTGCAACGACTTAAATTCCATCAACTCCTGTTGAAATTTCACCAACTGCTGAATTTTTACCAGCAGCTTTAGAAGAAACTGATGCAGCAGCTCAGTCTCTTCGTCGTGCTCGCAGAAATCCTGCGTGGATGGTGGATTATGAAGTAAAAGGAATTAGTGTTAATGATGATACAACTACTTATTTTGCATTATTTGCAGATTGCGAGCAGACAAGTTTTGAGAGTGTTGTTAAAGAAGAAAACTGGAGAAAGACAATGGATGCTGAAATAAAAGCTATTTAAAGGAACAATATTTGGGAGATTCTTGATCTTCCTTGGAATCACAAAATCATTGGTGTCAAGTGGGTCTATAAGACAAACTGAAAGAAAATGATGAAATGATAAGTATAAGGCACGGTTGGTGGCTAAGGGACACAACCAGGAATAGGTGTGGATTGTGCTGAAGTTTTTGCTCCAGTTGCAAGGCATGACAGCATCAGAATGCTAATTGCCTTAGCGGCTCAAAATTCGTAGCCTATATTCCAATTGGATGTCAAATCAGCTCTCTTACATGGGTACTTGGAAGAAGAGGTATTTTATGGAACAACCCGTTGATTATGTTAAGATTGATAATGAGCACAAGGTTTATCGATTAAAGAAAGCCCTTAATGGATTAAAACAAGCTCCACGAGCTTGATATAGCCACATTGAGGCTTATTTTCTGAAAAATGGATTTTCAAAAGTGTCTATATGAGCACACATTTTTTGAATTGGGGAGAACAGAAGAATGCTCATTGTGTGCTTATATGTTGATGATCTTATATTCACGGGGAATAGCATCATGTTTGATTAATTCAAGAAGTGTATGATGAATATTGAAATTGAGATGTCTGATCTTGGTATAATGCATTATTTTTTTGGTTTAGAAGTGGTGCAATCTGATGAAGGGATATTTGTTTCTCAAAAGAAATATGTGTGAGAAATGTTAAATAGGTTTGAGATGCAGAATTGCAATCGAGCCAACATTCCAGTTGAGTTTGATTTGAAACTTAACAAAGCTGGAAGCGGAAATAAGGTGGATAACACCTTTTACAAGCAAATTATCGGCAGTTTAATGTATCTAACTGGTACAAGACTAGACATCATGTATAATGTTAGTCTTGTAAGTAGATATTTGGAGTGCCCAACTGAAATGCATCTCCTAGTTGCGAAGAGAATTCTATGTTACCTACAAGGAACCAAGGATTTTGAAATTTTCTATAGGAAAGGAGAAAAGTTAGATTTGGTTGGCTTTACTGATGGTGATTATGAAGGAGATAAAGATGATAGAAAGTGTACTTCAGGTTATGTGTTTATGCTAGGCGCAGTGGTTGTGTCGTGGTCCTCTAAAAAGCAAACAATTGTCACATTATCAAGTACAAAGGCTGAATTTGTTGCTGCTACAACTTGTGTTTGCCAAGCAATTTGGCTTAGGAGAATCCTTGAAGAACTGCAGTTCAAGATTGGAAGAGCCACTATAATATGTTGCGACAACACTTCTCCCATCAGGTTGTCAAAGAATCATGTGAACCATGGAAGAAGAAAGCGCATTGATGTGAAGTATTATTTTCTGCAATATCTCAACATTGAAGGAACAATAGAGCTGCAGTACTTCCAAAGTAAAGATCAGTCGGCCTACATTTTTATCAAACCTCTAGGATTTCTCCCTTATCAAAATCTGAGGAGGTTGATGGGTATAGTGTTGGAATTATGACCTCCTTAATTCTGTAAAGGAACACGTACTTACTACTTGTTCTTTACTATTTGCAAGTTGTAGTAAACAATTTCGTAAAATAACAATTAGTTCACAACTTTGTATTATTTATCTCAACTTCAAACAACACAATGATTACAGACCTATGTAATCTAAGGAATTATAAACTCTAATTCCTAACTACCCAATACCAAAACCCCCAGGTTTAAGTCTTCTAACGTCTTCCAAATTTCTCAAACTCGTTAGACGTATCTTACACACACCACTCAATTATAATAAAAAAAC